ACTCGTTCACTCGAACATTACCCTTTAAAATGCAAAGAAAGATGTAAGTGTTCAAAATTCACTCTGCAGTATGAGACTTCAAGATACAGTACAGTAAAAGAATGCAGAACAAAGAAAGCCTTTCTGCGAAGTACAGGTGTATTTCCAGCAGGGACTTAGAACTTTTAAAACAGGTATGAGAGACTTTTTTCCTCTTATAAAAACAAATTCACTACTTTGAAAAAAGAGCTGTACAGTTTGTGTGTCTACAGAGACCAGCCATCTATAGCCCTAAGATAAATCTTAGTTTGTCTGACTTTGATTTTGCCTCTGGTTGCTCATCAGTACATTGAGAGACATGGCTAATAACTTTAATGGGTTTTAAAACTATATATATTCTTTAAAATGCAGAGATGTTTTACAATCAGTAGAATTGTTTTTGACTTAGTGAAATGAGAACACAATTTTATAGTAATAGCTCTTCTTCAGTGTGTTTGAATTCTGATTGATAAAGGTCATGTCTATTCCCTGACCTTGCTAAGCAGGACAACATATCATCCTCTGGTACTGTTCATTTTTCAGTGATCATCCATGAAAGTAATGGAAAAAATCATAAATACCAGCATTTCAAGAATGACATGACTATTGACCTTTAGCTTCACAAAATATTGGAAGTTATAATGAAGTGACATTTCCTCATTACCAGTCTGTAGTGTTGACACAGTAGAGGCTACATGTTTTTTCAAGTGTTCACAAGAAATTTGATCCAGCCAGAGGCAAGTATTTTATAGGAATTAGGTGGTCAATGAAGAAAAGAAATATGAGGGTGGCCAACAAATGGAGAGTGCTTCATAATTTATGAAACTACATTTCAGCAGAGGTAGCAAGGTATGCTACATATGGGAATTAGGAAAATTTGGAAAACTGTGTCCTGCAGTTAGAAAGAAGACATGTTGATTCATGTTATTGAGACCACTCACAACTTTCTGATAGTTCAGTTTTTCAGTACATCTTTAAAGAGAAACTCACAGTTTTGAAAGAAGTGTTGTTTATTCTCACTGAATTTAAGACCAAACTTGTGGCTTTCAGAAAATAATAAATTTATTCAGATAAGTTACAGATAAAACACCTACTTTAGGTCAAAATTAAGTTAAAGATAGATACTTGAAAATCAGAGGTCTGATAATTTATTATTCTATCACCTGTTCTCCATATTTGTTGTGGATGAATCTAACCTTTCTTTGGCAAAATTCTTTTGTTGGATGTCCAACCTCTTGCTCTGGCCAATATCAATTATTTTACCTTATTAATTTTTTTTTATTTTAGAGCTATTTTACTGTTACTGTTCATCCAGTCCAAATGAATCTGAAATTAAATATTTAAACTCTGTGGGTTGCTGATGTGAAACAGGACTATATGTTCATTTCATATTAGTAATCTTCTATATTTTCCCATCAGAAAAATATTTAGGCAATGGGGAATTACTAAAGTTTAAATTTACTTGGGAGTTATGTTCAGTCTTTCAGAATGCAAATAATGGCTCTCATCTTGGAGAATTTATGCTACACTTATCATTTTATATTGTTTTTCTAAATCATAGTGCTTTCTTAGTCCATACTTCTGTGAATTCCAATGTGTTTTATGCAGTACGTGTAAGGGCCTCAGACTTGTGTGATCATCATGCGTTTTGTAGCAAGTAGTTTCTGAGAAAACTGTTTAAAGTTATACAATGCAGAATGTTTAGAGAAACTGCTAGAATCCTTGTGGTTAAAAATACTCTGTAATAGTGAAGGAGAAACTGGACCACTGGAAGTTCATGGGAAAACAAAAAAAAATTCTCTATTCAGAGACTCACAGAATGAACAGAGTTCATTGGAGACTGGCATCATGTACTAAAAAATTATGTGAGCAATATATTCTAAGCTTCTAATAAAATTGGATGTTAATTGCAAGGTGATTATTACATTTGTCCACCTTAGTAATAAAATGATTCAATCTAGTAAATAGATGTAATTTTGAAGTTAGAAATGGTTAGCATTTCCATCCTTGCATGAGACATGGCACAGGCCATCCTTCTGCCCATCCAAGCCTATGCTACAATGCTACACCACACTGCTTATGCTGTGAACAAGTGTGCTATCACAGTTACTGTCATAGGGAGTAGAAGGCATTTTTGGCCATAGTTGCCAGCTTTCTGCAATAAATATGGAATGGCTTAGGTATATAAATGTATGGGAAAAAAAATAAGTCAAAGGCATGTAATATATCTCTTTTTTTTTCCTCGAATGTCCTGGAAATACATTTATCAATCTTCTATAATATAAATTAATATCCTTATCAGTGCTGTTTCTGAAGCTGATATGCTGTTCATGGTAAAGCAAAAGTTTAAATTATCCTTGGTTTTCTTTTGCCTTTTACTGTTTTTTATTCAATGATTTGAATGCATTCTACCAATTTAAAATGTAGAATTAACTGCCCATAAGGCACACGATGAGTTGAATCAATTTTAATAATGGTGCCTATGACTGAGTAACAACCAGAAATCAAGTAGTTTGCTGATGATTCCTACGTCAGTGAAGATATACAGAACAGATTGTCAGACTCCTACTGTCATTTTTTCAAAGGAGAAATACTGTTGCTTCCCAGGAGTTTGCTATTTTTAGTGGCTACTTACAAGCTGATGGCTTCTTCTTTATTTTCTTTTTTGATGCTTCCTTTTGAATTGTACTTAGGAGGTGGAGTAACTGCTACACTGAAGGCCTAGAAGAGGTGCATACAATGGTGATAGATCTGACATATCTTTTGGCTTCAACTATAGAGCATAATGGACAATCTCCCAGTTCAGTTCACTCTGTAGTCTCCCAACTTCACCAAGTATCTATTTACTCCACAGTAATTTTGTCTCTGATCTCATTTAAGACAGTATAAAGATCTTCCTCAATGATTTGTTCTGAAACTTAGCAATAAAATACTTAATTCCGCTGTCAAACAATTTTTTAAGTTGTTTTTTGAGGTATACAAAAATGTTACATTATTAACAACTTAATACATTGTTCTTAAAACTTTGGGGAATTAATGGACCAAAATTCCTTTATTGCTCTGTGGTGGCCTTGGCAGGCAGTGACATAACTGTACTGGTAAAAGCATTAAACATCAAAACATTGTCCTTATCATTTAAGATAGAATCAGAATAATTTAGATTGGAAAAGATATTTAAGACCATGGAGTCCAGTAGTAAACCTAATGCTGTATAGTCCATCACTCAACCATGCCACTAAGTGCCTCATCTACCTCCAGGGATGCTGGTTCCTCCTCTTCCCTGGCCAACCTGTTCCAGTGCCTGATAACTCTTTTTTCCACATATCCACTTTGAACGTCCCCTTGAACAATTTGAGACCATTTCCTCTTGTCCTACATTTAAAAGAGACAAACCTGGCTACAACCTCCTCTGAGGTAGTTGTAGAGAGGATAAGGTATTCCTTCATCAGTTCCTTATAAGACTTGTGCTCCAGGTGCTTCACCAGCTTTTTTGCCCTTCACTGGACTCTCTCCATCAACTTAATGTCTTTCTTGAAGTGAAGGGCTGAAAACTGAACACAGAATTTGAGGTGTTGCCTCACCAATGCTGAGTAAAGGGGGAAAATCACTTCCCTAGTCCTGCTGGCCACACTACTCTGATACAGGTCAGGATCCCACTGACTTCTGGACACACTGCTGGCTCATGTTCCATTAAATTTATATATAACACAGTGACAGTCTTTGCATATTCCTTCTACACTTGTGCAGAAAGCTAGCACATATGGATCACACAGAAATTGGAATTTCTGCCTCTCTGAAACTGATAATTTGTAATCATGCACAACAATCTACTTACAGTTATTTTCTGGCTTCTTTTGTACAAGAGCATTAAAGATAATTTCAGAAGTTTTTTAAGAGCAGCTCTCAACTCTGTTGATAGTGATTGTTTCCTCCTTATGTGGAATGATCCCTCATCTCTTCAGCAAGATCTGTACATCCTGCATGCAGAGACACCACTTTGCTGTATGAACAGCTTTAACATACAGCTGATCTGTCTCTGTCTCAGATACTGTGCTGTCTTTTCCCTTCACTTAGCAGGCAAATCAAACTGAACAGAATACAATATTCCCTTCTGTCTTCAGCATCTTACCACATTTGGGGAGTTATGGACTTTTTCCACTGGGATGAAAAAATAAACATGGTGTTTCTTTGATGCAATCCTGTTTACAAAGATGGCACAAAATGCTATTTCTCTAAACACAATGGGAATCAGAGGAGAAATAGCAGAAATGTCTTAGTGACAAAGCATTTTTTAGAGCACTGAATCCACACATTCTTTCAGATGTTACCATTCCCTGAGTTAATGGTGCTTGTGGTTTGTTTCACTGCTTCACTTCTTCAAGAGTGTGCATCTTTTTTCCTTCCCCTTTGCATGAAATAAGAAATACTCACAAATCAGCACCCAATAAGATTCTTTCTACCACCATTTCTGTTTTTCAAAAACAAAAATGCAGTCTAAAGATATAGAATTTAAAATTGACTGAAAATATAATATAACACTTAATTGCAATTACATTTATTTTCAAATTACAATCTATTTAAAGTCAGATAATCTTGTACTTTGGACAATTTTTGTTATGTTCCTTTTTCAATAGAAGCAGTATAATTTCATAGTTTAAGAAATTTCATAGTTTAAGACTACTAATTGTACAGGAGTGTTTAGACTGCAGCTACAAAAGCTTTTATTTAATTGATATGTAAATTAATTAGGAGGATTAATGTGTGACTTTTTTCCACCAGATATACAATATGGCCTTATACTTTGCCATTTTGACCTTAGAATTTGCAAGTAAAAAGATACTAATGTAATGTTTATGTTGGAAAAATAACACTTAGTAAAATGAATGCACATTTCAGATTTCAAATTTTTTTAAGTTTTCAGGAAAAATGCTTCTCTATAAAAGAACACTGGATGTTTTATACTTAGATTTTTAGCAAAGCCTTTAAGAAAGGTTAACTTTTTTAAACTCCTTTGGACTCACTCCAACAGCCCAATTATTTCAGGCCATATTTTCTCATAGGACAAAAGAGAATATTGTAGGACATAGTGTCAGAAGACCAGGTGAGGTCAAGGTATAGAGCTTTCAGCCCTCTGCTTTATCCATCTTGGTAGCCAATCTTGGCGAAAAACCTATCAGATTATCTAACATAATTTGCCATTGTTAAATCTTCCTTTTATACTCCTGTTTACTCACTTGCTTGCACATGTTTGGACATATATTCCAAAGTGACCTGCTCTCCCCCAAGGAGAAAGAAGAGCTTGTCCAGCCCACAGTTACTCAGGCTCTGCTTCTGACATGTCTTAATGAAGTGAATAACGAAGTTTTTTCCTCAATTACGGATCCCTCCTCCAGCTGTCACTCTTTTTCACTGAACACAGGCACCTTACAATCATGATCCACCAACTCCTTCAGCACTTTCACGCTGAAATAGCTGATGAAATGTTCCTGCTGTTCAAGCTGATGAATTTAAATATATCCAGTTTCTCTAGGTACTTCTAAGATGTTTCTCCCCGATGATAGCTGTCTCACTCCCCAGCCTATGCAGCTACACACAGAGGTGTCTGAACAGGCAATGCCTATGAAGATCAAGACACAAAGACATTGAGTTCTTTAGCCCACCCCCTGCCATCTCTCACTTGTTAGCTCCCCTGCCCATCAGCAAACCCACCTTTTCCCTGAACTTCTTTTTGCAATTAGTTTAACTGCAAGAGCCTTTTTTTCTTATCTCTAATATTCCTTGCTGGGTTTATCTCCAGCTGGGCTCTGTTCTGGAATTTTTCCCTAAGTATCTGAGAAATGCTATGCCACTCTTTTGTTGTCTGTCATTTCCATATCTTATACACTGCTTTTTGCATCTTGGTTCAAAAGTTATTAAAATATGTGCAAAAAGTAGGTCATACTCAGGATGAATAAGTATTAAACCAGGATAAAAACTTACCAAGTTTAAAGTTTCAGGGATGCGAATGTTCTAGCGAGACAGAAATTCTGGACTACAGAGGAGATATTTTGAAAAGGAAAAATGTTACAGATACATCCATGTTTCTTACAGACCTATATTTTTAGCAGCTTTCAATTAATGCAACAATAAAACAAACCAACCAACCAACCACAGGAAAAAACCCCAAATGACAGCCTACAGACAGATGTAGTCAAAATGGAAACTCTGCATGCAGATAACCTAAAAATCCCAGATTAAACTAGTACATCTTCATCAACATGTTACTTGAACATGATACTAGGTTTTGATACCATTATTTTAACCTAATGTCTTGTAGTTGAAAAGCATGTCAGACTCCTAGGCTAAGGTGGGGAGCAGCAGGAATCAAACAAGTTGTTGCATGTCCATCCATGCAGAGGAAAGGTGCCAACAGAAAAGTGGAAAGATCTGTTTTGAGATGTTATAGAGGATCATAACTTAATATATGTATTTATTCTGTACCTGTACCTCAGGGTACAGAGGGACAAAACTTTTATTTTTAGCCTGCAATTTTTCTATACTAGTGTGCCATTCTGTATAGGCTGTGTTATATCTGTTGACAAAACAAAAAAATACAACTGAAAAAGCAGAGCACATACTACTAGAGGTGACAGATGCAGTAGCAGTAGGTCCTGCAGAAAGAAACTTCATCTTGAGGGTTGTACTTTACACTTTACCCAGCTTACCCAGATTAATTTCAAATTTTTTGAACAACAAATGTGACTTTGAAGAAAAGAGCTTTCAAAAAATTTACCTTAATATGCCATTGATGTAATAGATGGCAGGCTGTCTGTCTTTACAGAGAAAAGAAACTGAAGTAGGGAAAGGATGTGAGGATGGCTCTGGAAAGAACTTCTTATCAAGTAAAATCCAGGCCACTGAATCAAAATAAAATTAATCATCTCACATGACTGAAAACTGTTTCAATAAGGCTTTTTCTTTTTTTTTTCTTTTATTTTTTTTCTTTTATCTTTCTTTTATCTTCCTTTTATCTATCTTGCCTTGCCTTGCCTTGATTTCCCCTTCCCTTCCCTTCCCTTCCCTTCCCTTCCCTTCCCTTCCCTTCCCTT